CCCCCATCGGTTTCTAAAAAATATATCACACCAATGTTCCTCCCCTGAAATCAGAATTATGACTAGCTAAATCATAGTTCTAAACCATACCAAAGGCCACTGCTTGCTCTCCCTCCTTCAAAATGACCTACATGTACTTTATGTTCTAAGGTAATGAATGAAATTTTGTGAAAAGCCTGAATGAGCTTAGGTTAAGTCAAATATTACAACTTGCAGTGAGGAATTTTTATTATTATTATTTCTGCATGTTGTATATTATTAATTAAGAGTTATCGGTAGTGTACAAAAGGGAATTTAAAACCAGATCCATTTGCATGTACAATAAGAACAAATGATACAGAGACATAAAATCTTTATTGATAAAGTAAGCTTTACCAAGATTATAACAGTATGTATCACCAGAGACCACTTATACCATTTCTTTTAAATACCAATTGTACAACTTTACATTTAGGGACAGCCAAGAATGCACTGCTGTCTTCAACTGATATTATTCAGGATTCAGTAAGTTTTGCCAAAAATCCATGAGGAACTACATGTTGATGCTTTTACTGCTTTTAACATTTGTGAACATTTAGTTGCGTCACCTGTAAGTTATGAATGTACAAACAAATAAAAAAGATTATATATATATATATATATATATATATATATATATATATATATATATATATTAAAAGGAAAAAAAATCTGAATTCTTTTCTTCTTGGATATATGCATGGCTGACAAGTGCCATTTTACTGCTTTTTTGTAATTAAAAAAGTAAAATGACTGATGAAAAACGTGGACTGCATGAAACAGTCTTAATCCATACAGATCTAGCTGCTCTTGTTACTCGAAGCACTGAAATATTTGTCACTTTATATTTTATTTAAAACAAATAAGAAAATATACCTATTAAAAGAGAAGAAAACTGAAATAATTTTATAGAAAAACATACTCTTGTTCTTGAATATTTCACTTCCCTTGTAAGTTATAAATTAATGTACAAACTAATAAAAAAAGATTATACATGTATATATGAAAAGAAAAGAAGAGATAGGGAAAAAAATCTGTATTCTTGTTCTTGGATATATGACATATTAAAAGAACAGATAAAAATGCATAATCTTTTTGTTGGATATGTGCATGGATGACAAGCACCATTTCACTGCTTTCAAATAATTAAAGTAATTAAAGTGAAATGACCCATCAAAAATATTGCCTTCTACATGTGTGAAACATCTTAATCCATACAGATCTAGCTGCTCTTGTTACTCTAAGCACTGAAATGTTTTAGTCACTTTATATTTCATTTAAAACAAATAATAAAATATACCTATTAAAAGAAAAGAATAGATAATATTATTTAAGAAAAAAAAATCTTGTTCTTGGATATTTCACATATAATAATTAGCCCCATGCCTCAAACTGTCAGACTATAGGATCATGTAATTGTTCCACATCCCCCAGATGCTGCATGTGTACATAAAAGATGTGTCGTGAGGATGCACATTACAATGCAGTTATTACATCTTATCACACTATAATCTATAATCATACAACAGGGCAGGGGAAGTGAGATGTTCTGTGAAAAAGGTAAAAAATTCCTAGAATGAATTTTATTGCTCGAGATGTGAAAAGACAGACTACCTTACCAGTATTTCTATGTTATGACTAGAAAGGACTTTATGCTTGTTACTCATTAAACACATATTTCTATGAAAATTAAAGAGATATGTTGCAAAGATATAAAAATAACCCTAACCCAAAAACAAGTTACACGAACTTAGTTGAATACAGTATTTATAAAAGTAAATTTTTCAGGTATAAATAAGGCAAGTTGATATGACCCTAATTTAGGCAGAAAAATTACTAACAATAACACTGGAACAAAACTTTCATTTATCACAAGAACCTTCAACACAAACAACAACATTTACAAACAGCCATGAATGCAGTGTTGTCTTTAACTGATATTATGCAGGATTCAATATTTTTTTCCAAAAACATGCCCCCCTGAAAGAATTTTTATCCAAAAAGAACTACATGTTGATGTTTTTTTCTTTTAACATGTAAGTTCATCATCTATTTGTTAAAAAGGTACAAACAAATAGGAAAAAGATGATAGTTATGAAAAGAAAAGAAGAAATAAAAATTCTTCTTCTTGGATATATCACACATTAAAAGAAATAAAAATATCTGTATTCTTGTTCTTGGATATATGCATGGTCAACAAACACTATTTTGCTCAGACTTGACCTCCTACACTTTTTCTAAACCCATTATTTCAAAAAGAATAGCTATCCCCCACATCCCCCACCACATCCCCCACCTCCACCACAAGCTCCACAACCCCCACATGCCCCACACCCACCACACCCACCACAGCCCCCACACCCTCCACACCCTCCACAAGCCCCACCTTCCTCCCTCCCACAACAGCCAGCACACTGCCCATTGTTAACATGGTTCTTGATGTAGGGGTTGCAAGGGGTTGTAGTCAAGAAACCCGCAGCAACCAGAAAGGTCAGATCATGGTAGTCAAGTTCGTATTTTTTGTTGTTTAGTTTGGCTTTTTCTGGTGGTAGGATCTCCTGTGAATCAACTGCACTCCTTAGGTAGGGGCGGGGTTGGCACATCACGTGAAGCATGGACACAGAGAAAGCTAGCACCAGGTGCTCAGCAACATCGTTAGTCCCTGCACTGATCATGATCTGACTGTTCTCCATGTTTACGCTGACATCTCTAACCATGAAATCAAAGGTTCCAGAAGATGGGACTCGGACAACAGGTGGCGGACTCTTCTGGCCCTGGACCAAATCATAGCACATGACAGTCAGGTGACCCGGGCGACCACGAGTGCCCCTCACACCAGGAGAACCCCGCACACCTAGGGTTAAATATATTCAGACATTGCATAACATGTGCAAAATAAAGAAGCAAGTACCGGTACCAGTGCAATGGAACCATTGCATCGTTTGACTCGTGCAAGGTCTCAACTTTATCACATCTATTTCCTTTGTTGGCATGCCAAGGTCTGTTCTATTAATATCTTATTTCTATCCTTGCAAACCTTGTGTCGTGCACCCTTTGCCTTTTTATACCTCGTCATGCATGTGCTAAAAAGTTTCTTCATCGTCTTGACCGCCCTTTTGACTTCTTTATTGGGTCAAATAAATGCTGTCACGTGGCACCCCTACTCATTTGGTTTTCACCGCTTGAAAGTGGGGTAGGGTGAATAATAACTTTTCTTTTGAAAAAATCCAGAGGAACAAGGAAGACAACAAGCTTTGCAAAATATTTAGACAGAAAATATGACGTTGGATTGTTTTGAAATACAACTAATGAATAAGATGTTTTCATTTGCTTGGCCCTGAGGCTAAAGCCCTATGTGATATCCAACTTTTCTATTTGAGTAATTTTAAATTATTGTGTCAGATAGAGTTCAACATAACATGCGCACCACTTAATATATATATAAGGCGCAGGTTAAACAAAGTTTGAAATGGTCACGTTTTCTACATCTCTAACATCAAGGAGTTACGACAGAACTCCTCGCTAACACATTTTATACTAAGCAAGCAAAATCTTAAATCTTAAGTAAGGGTGTAAATTTCACTATTCGATATCGTATAAAGAGAACTTGTGTGCAAATATATCATTGAATATACCATTGAGTGGAATATACCATTGAAAGACTCTTTCAACTTGTTTTGTAGCCTAGGGTCTTCTCTCCGGCAACATGTTACAATGGAACGTGCATATACTATATATCAGACCTCTCTCGGAGATACACAGGTGTGATTTATGTCTCTTTGAGGTCATAGATCTAAGTTTTAAGAAAAGGAATTTCC